GTACTCGACTCCCACGTATCATCCTCTTTGGAGAAATCAACAGTGGCAAGAGGTTCCGCGAAGGCCCAAACTGACGCTTCAAGGATCAGTTGAAAACATCCCTGACACAGGCCAACATCGAACCCGTGGACTTGGAAACCGTTGTTGCAAATGGGATTACCTGGCATTTCAAGTTCAACTGTCAACATAAAAAATGCTGTCATGAGGACCAAACACGTCCAGTCGCGTCCACTACCCACTCTACTCTGTGACTCCTACTCACAACCCTTCAGGATTAGGCTGTGTCTTCGAAACCATCTCGGCCAACGCCACCCGAGGGAAGAAACGGAATAAGGAGGGATGATGATGAGGCATGCGAGCGAATAGCGACGACGACGACGACGATTCCTGCAGGCATGTTAATTTTGGTGTAGTCAGGGTAGAAATGTGATTTAAATTGTCTTTGACACAAGCACATTTGTCTATATTTCTGAGATGAGGTATTATGTACAGAATTTACATTAGTCGGACTATTGTCCTCATCTTTGTCGCCATATTTGTCACAACGTTTCGGCCGTTGTACGCTCCGGCCTTCTTCAGGTGGTTGGAATTTCGAACTGAACCCTTTATTTCGATCACTGTTCTAGTTCCACGTGCCATGTTTGATGAATGTCAGTTACCAATTATCTCCTGCTAATATTCCATCTGAAAGTTCTCCACTGCCTTAACTGGGAATTGAACTCACATTCATTGGGTCTGTCACTGGATCTAACCAACGCCTTTATCCACTGTGCCATGAGGACACCTGGGTATGAACTTCTGGGTATTATAAACCTAATGTTTTCAGCAATCATTTTTACCAGTGATCATATTGCAATTGTTTGCTGTTATCATTGCATGTCTTTACCAGAGTTCATATTACAACTTTGTTATCATTGCATTTCTCTGGCACTCCTTATTACTGGTTCCCATATTGTATTTATTTCTATGCTTGGTCGGCTCAGGAGATTTTTGTGGCCTAGCATATGTGCTGATTCCTTAAGTTTTCGAGTTTTCCAATGGTGTTCCCTGTCTATGATTCATCATGATCCCACAGGGGACAGTGGTCTCCCTTCTCTCTCCATATGTGGTCAGCTACGCCTGATTTTTCTACTTCCCCTCGCATTACAGCTTTCTGGTGTTCTTGAAGCCTTACCTTGAGAGGGCGACCTGTCTCTCCTTTATATTGCTTTCCGCAGGTGCACGGGATAGCGTACACACAGTCTTTAGTCATATTTTCCTCTGTGGGGGGTCTCACTCGAGAGAGATATCTGCGATGTGTTGTCACGCTTTTGAAGGTTGTCCTGATGTTATATGGACCGCAGATCCTTTGTATTTTCTCTGATAACCCCTTCACATAAGGCAGGGAGACTGTTTTCTGAGTGTTGTTGTCCTCCTCCTTGTACCCGCCTATCCCAGTTTTTAGGGGCTGCTGCCATGTACCCAGAGAACTACTTATACTGACCAATTCCTTATCTAACGTCTTTGGGTCGCCACTTATGACTTTTGCTCGGTGTTGTAAGCAACGGACGATCCCTTTCTTTACGCTGTATGGATGGTGGGAGTTGAAATTGAGGTACTGTCCGGTGAATTTTGGTTTACGGTATACGGATGTCTTGAACCCATGCTCTGTTCGAGATATTAGTACATCCAGGAATGAGAGTGTGTTGTTACTCTCTTTCTCCATTGTGAACTGTATCGAAGGTCTTATTGAGTTCACATGGTCCAGTAGAACCTGGACGCCTTCCTGGTAATGCCAGAGTATGAAGGTGTCATCTACGTACCTTAACCATATAGTTGGCTTTAGAGATATAGATTCTAATGCTATTTCTTCAAAGTATTCCATAATATATTCGGCATTGCTGGCTATAATGGCGAGCCTATTGCTAAGCCCTCATCCTGTTGAAATATGTGTGATCCCATTCCGAAGTGTGTTGTTTGTGTACAGAAAGTCAACATCTCCATCAGATTATCTATTGGAACACCGGTCCGTTCTTCTAGGGAAGAGTCAGAGGTCAATCTGTCTCTGACTACTGAGAGTGCCTCATTGACCTCTGACTTGGTCAGTATAAGTAGTACCCTACAAAGTAACAACTACCCTGGTTACATGGCAGCACCCCCAAAAACTGGATAGGCGGGTACAAGGAGGAGGACAACAACACTCAGAAAACAGTCTCCCTGCCTTATGTGAAGGGCTTATCAGAGAAAATACAAAGGATCTGCGGTCCATATAACATCAGGACAACCTTCAAAAGCGTGACAACACATCGCAAATATCTCTCTCGAGTGAGATCCCCCACAGAGGAGAACATGACTAAAGACTGTGTGTACGCTATCCCGTGCAGCTTCGGAAATGAATGTAAAGGAGAGACAGGCCACCCCTTCAAGGTAAGGCTTCAAGAACACCAGAAAGCTGTAACGCGAGGGGAAGTAGAAAAATCAGGCTTGGCTGACCACATATGGAGAGAGAAGGGAGATCACCGCCCTCTGTGGGATCATGTTGAAATTATAGACAGGGAACACCATTGAAAAATTCGAAAACTTAAGGAATCAGCACATATGCTAGGCCACAAAAATCTCCTGAGCCGACCAAGCATAGAAATAAATACAATATAGGAACCAGTAATAAGGAGTGCCAGAGAAATGCAATGATAACAAAGTTGTAATATGAACTCTGGTAAAGACATGCAATGATAACAGCAAACAATTGCAATATGATCACTGGTAAAAATGATTGCTGAAAACATTAGGTTTATAATACCCAGAAGTTCATACCCTGATGTCCTCAAGGACATATGGCACAGTGGATAAAGGCGTTGGTTAGATCCAGTGACAGACCCAAAGAATGTGAGTTCAATACCCGGTTAAGATACCCGGCAGTGGGGAACTTTCAGAGGGAAAATTGGCTGGAGATAACTGATAACTGGCATCCATCAATGGCACTGACATCCTCATGGCACGTGGAACTAGAACAATCTATCCCAGTGATCGAAATAAAGGGTTCAGTTCGAAATTCCAACCACCTGAAGAAGTCCGGAGCGATGACAAATATGGCGACAAAGATGAGGACAATAGTCCAACTAATGTAAATACTGTACAAGCACATTTCTTCTGTTTTGGTTGTATGAAGTATTGAGCTTTTCTGTTTTTCTCCAAATTTTAAATCTTTGTATCTGCTATTTGATTGAATTTACATTTTCACGGAGGTATTGGTTTCTCAAAGATTTACTATTTTAAATTTTATTTGTTGTTTCGTATATGCCCTTCTATTTGCCTCTGATTCCTATCTGTTTCTTATATCAATTTATTCCACACAAGATTTTTCTTATATCAGTATCTTTTTCTTTATCTTTGATTGACATCAACTTAGAATCTCGTTCATTCGGGAATTCTAAATTTACCTTTTATTTTTAAGAGCTTCCATGCTTACCTCGGTGTTATTCTTTATTCACGTGGAAGAAAGCAAGCCGTATTGTGTGCTGGCATTTTCAATTTAGCTACACAGTCTGTGATCAGATTCAAATCAGGATTTCTATAAACAAACATCTGTCACAGTTAGCCTCATCCAAGTGTCTAAGATACTGCAGTCAATAATTTGCTGTTTAAAAATTTTCTGGGCTATGCCATTCATGTGAAGGTTTATTTCACGGAATGATCAAACCATTTGCTAAGGAAGGAATCAGAATATATATATATATATATATATATATATATATATATATATATAGAGAGAGAGAGAGAGAGAGAGTGAGAGAGATAAAGAGAGAGAGAGTGATGGATAAATTTTAATTTAAATTACGCAAAAATGAAACTAAAAATATCTCGTTTTTAATAGATATATTTGAAAAATTACACAAGAATACTGAAGAGCAAATTCATTCAATAAAATAGCCGTTGGATTCAACCACAGCCTCCAGCCGAATTCGAAATCTCCTGGAACTCGTCTGAACGGTTTCCAGGTTTTAGTTGGAGAATGTTGCCATATATCCTTGACTTTAGTTCATTTTTGGTGTTACCAGGAGTTTTGCTGATCTCTCGCTCAGTTCCGTCCCACACATAACAAACAAGGGTTTTGCAGTGTAGGCAGTAAGGTGGCCAGATGTCAGGCGTGATGTTGTCGCAGAAATTGTCTGACAGCTATGACTAGATTCTCCGGCTTATGTGTCATCGTGCAGAGTCCTGTTGCCAGGGGTCACACTCTTAAACCACGGTCGCACTACCTCCTGAAGTTACTTGATGTAGGCCTACGGAGGTATAACGTCGCCATCAGCAGTGATCCCATCAAACGCCTTTATAATCGCCATTAGATTCATCAAACTTTTTCAGAATTCTTTGCACTGTCCTCAATTTGATACTCAAACACTCGGAAATGTTCTTATTGGAGATTCCGGTGAGAATACCAAGTTTTTCAGCATGCCTTTTTCATATTTTTTGCAGGGTGAATTGTGACAATGTGCTCTTCTTCTCACTGTCGCTACTATACTGTACAGTCGAAAAAACCAGAAGCAAACAACACGCATGAGCGAAATTAAAAAAATAATATGGCAAAAATTTATCCATCGCACCCTGTACGATCATACTCATGTCGATGTTTACAAAGAAACAATAAATGTCCATCAGATATTAATAGTGAGATCTCTACTAAGAATGTAAGATTTAAAGCTTACAAAGCAAAGAACATGAAACTGAAAACTGAACAAATTCTTTCTATTTTTTCAAATATGGTCATTTCATTTCCCCCTTATTTTTCTAACTCATCCTAACGCAATATCCTTTATATCTTTCTTGACCACCCCCCACTGTCTCTGGCTTCACATACCCACACCTATCCATAATCGTCAAAATGAAAATAATATTCAGCACAATTAATATTATCATTAATATTTCAAGAGAAATCTCTCACAATTAAAATATTCGAGAACCACAGCGAATTGGACAACTTTGATAATGAAAAATATTGGAAGATTAAATTTATGCGGTAAATGGATATTTTTGTGAATAGGCTTTGTCCACGGTGTTTCATTTCTTCATACTTCTTATATTTTCTTCTTCTTCTTCTTCTTCTTCTTCTTCTTCTTCTTCTTCTTCTTCTTATTATTATTATTATTATTATTATTATTCTGTATAATCAGACGTCATATATTTTCTTCTTTTTTTCTCTCTTTTTATCTCATAGTAATTTTCATCTTCATCGGTGACATTTTTTCTACGTGTCCTCCTCCCCTTTATACATTTGATTCTTCTTTTAAATCTTCTTCTTGCTACAATTATTATTATTATTATTATTATTATTATTATTCCGTACAATCACACGTCATTTATTGTCTTTTCTTCAACGTTTTTTCTCTCTCATTTTTTTCTCATAGTAGTTTTCTTTTTCTTCTTACATTGCATCAATTGTTGTTGTTGTTGTTGTTCTTGTTGCTGCTGTTGTTGTTGTTCTTCGTCTTCGCCTTCTTTTTCCGTTATAATAATATTCTTTTTCGTTTTTTTTTCGTTTCCCTCTTTATCCCTAATAGTAATTTTTTCAGTACATTCATACGTCATATATTTTCCTCTTCTTCTTCTTTTTCTTCTTCTTCTTCTTCTTCTTCTTCTTCTTCTTCTTATTATTATTATTATTATTATTATTATTATTATTATTATTATTATTATTATTCTGTACAACCGTATGTCATATATTTTCTTCACCTTTGCCTTTTTTCTTTTTGACACCTATGTTCCTTTATAATATTCTTCTAGCACTTCATAAAAGCCTTTTTGTTCTTCCCATTTGTTTTCCGTTAAATTACTATTCTACTTCATTCTTTTTCTTCTTTCAGCTTCCCTTACAATATTTCTTCTTCTTCTTCTTCTTCTTCTTCTTCTTCTTCTTCTTCTTCTTCTTCTTCTTCTCATTCACGTTATTCTTCTTTCTTTCTTTCCTTCCATCCATCCTTTCTATTTTCTCAAATATATTCCTTTTGTAATTATCTCCTTTTATTCTTTTTTCTAAATCATTCTATCTCTATATCCTCCATACATTTCTTCACACCCATATCAACCTCTACAATATACCCAGCATCATACAAAATATTAATCACAATTATTATTACCATTACTGTTTCAAGAGAATGTCTCTCAGAATTTAAATTTATTTTTCAAGAAAATCCCTGACAATTAAAATACAACGAATAGGAAAACTTTGATGCTTTACATTTGAAGTTGAAATTCATGAAGACAATAATAGAACGACTCGAAATAGTTAATTTTTTTTTTTTAAAACAGTCTCCATAATTGAGAAAAAAAAAGAAGAATAAAAGGAGAAAAAAAAAACGTAAAGAAATATTGATCTATTTCTTGCTTTTCAAAATGCTTTATTTCGGCGATGAATGATACTTTCAGCAGCTGTTGATTTTATTCGATTGAAGCAAATTCAATAAAAAAAAAAAATGGAAGAAAAAAAAAAAAACTCAAGAAAGACGAATAAATGCCGCAGGCAATAGAAGAGATTGTGGCAAAGAAGTTGTCACAAAACGTTGAGCGATTTGTTTCTAATCTGAAAATGTTATCGTGACTTTACCGACATCAAAAGTTTTGTCAGCATCAGACTGTTATTTCCGTGAAGCATAATTAGGGCGAAAAAAGAAATGTTTCTTCCATCTGCGTAGATTGCAATGCAAAATAAACGAACTGATAATATTGCATTCATTATAATCCCTCTATCTCAAGCTAGCGAATATATATATATATATATATATATATATATATATATGGTCTAACATTGAAAAACATAAGGAAAACATTAATTATTTTTAATATGTTGAAATCTCCGCTTTTCACTGAAGACGGTCACGAGACCAGAAACACGTGTAGTAAAATTATGGAAAATAAGACATAATGTTTTTTTTCTAAAAAAAACACATTACAACCAAAAACGTGTGTGGCACTTCTCTTCTGTTCTTTTTAATATACATACATTTCTCTCGTTGGAACCACTACCACCTCTTTCTTTTATATATATATATATATATATATATATATATATATATATATATATATATATATATATATATATATATATATATATATATATATATATATATATATATATATGTGGATTGGTAAACAGTGACTATTATAGCTATATAGCGAGACTCTTCACGAAAGCGAATTAAGTCACTGTCAGTCACTGGGCATGTTTGTAAATATAAATATGCTAAAATCCACCTTCATCCCTACCGACGGCTTAGTGGTTAGAAGCTCCGACTGACACCAATTCAGTCGGGTTTCGATCCTAGCTAGAGGCAACCGGATGTCTAGCCACACTGATGAGCTGTAAACAGCGAAACAGTCTGGCTGTGGATGACGTTATATATGTATGTATATAAATACAAAACTGAACATTGGAGTCTACACTTATAGGCGACGGTCTGTTTCATGTTAGGACTGACGATTGCGTCTAGCCTGAAACAATCTGTCGCCTCTAAGGGTTGACTTCCATGTACACTTTTATCTCTGATATTGAGCACTTTATCCCATACATATATCACACCTTTATATATATATATATATATATTACAATAAAAACTTACATCGCAAGAGAAAAACTTGCATGTTTCAGTACTAATATATATGTATGTATGTATATTAAAATAAAGAGAGAGAACCGTAAGTTTTATAATCCAGTGTTCTTATCAATTATTTATATGTTTAAGAAAACAGTGCTTAATAGAATTCTGGAGGGTATCAACATTATCAATTTAATAATTTAAAAATATGTTTCCATCGCTACTCAGGAATTACCGTGTTTAAGAAACGGAAACTAAAAACTTAAAATTCAATTATAGAATTAAATTAAAATCCCTAGTACTCTTTCATTTACCAGCGAATTTTGGAATAACTGAAACTTAGGGACTCACATTCTTAATATTAATTTCTAAGAATACAGGGAAATTCAATCATTTTCACAAGTGTTGGCAGGGTTTTCATTTTCACTGACAACTATTGTATTATGATATGAGTTACTGTAGAAATGAGTTTAAGTTATGGTATGGTAGCGGTGCCTGTTCAGCAAATGATGACATGTTTTTCGTATGTCTGCCATTTTTCAATGGCAAAATTTTTCCGGCACTTCTTTCTTTCGTCTCCTCTTCTCTTTCAATTCCTTTTAGCATAAACACTTCTATTTCAAGCACTCCCTGAATTTTAACCTATCGCTTTGAACGGGTATTCTCACGTAGAATCCGCCTGCATTGAGCGCTTATTGGGTATTAAGATCTAACCATACGTCAATTCGGGCATATGATCTCTCGCTAAAGATATAAGTAAATTCTTTTCTTGCTTGTACCTCTTCAGTGAGTTCCCTACTCTTCCAGCTATCAACTACCTTAAGAAATTCGAAAATGGATTACTGCTGCGATATATGTACAAAGGTGTCCAGTCGTCCCTCCACGTCTTTCTGTGTGAGGAATTATCTTCCACCAACAACCCCTTTCCCCACAGACAAAAGGTCGCAAGCTTCTTGCCGTGTTGTCGCTATTTCCATGGAAAATGTTCAGACGAGCTCTATGACTTATTTCTAGCAGTTCTAACGTCTAAGGCTAAGAATTCTATGCATGCATATTTGAGCGATCCACCCCCATTCCTTTCGTTTTTCCTTAGTGAGAAGTAGGTGCGACCCGAGAAAAGTCGTCATCCAAACAACTGATTTATGTAACCGATTCCCAAGAGGTTGCTTGCCTCATCACTACAAACTTAAACTGTTCATATAAATGGCTATCCTTATCTTCTCCATAATCTGTGCGTATTGATCTTTTATACTCTACCGCGAGTGGTTTTCCAGGCTTGCATAGGTTAGCATCATTGTAAAGAAAAATATGGTATCGTTATTTTTAAACCTCATTCTCATTTTTAAATTTTATTTCGATTTTATTTTTGTTAATTTGTTTTTCTTCATTATATTTGTTTTTCACGTTTTTTTTAATTATTTTCTTTCTTACTCTTTCAGAAATATTGCTTTTTTTTTTCACATGCAAATCTTCCCGAACTTTCCTTTCTTTATAAACTAATCTTCATTCTTAAACTATTTCTTTGCATATTCTTCAAATTACTTTATGCTGCTTAACGCGACTGTTCCGGAATATTTCCCCGTCTTCTATTTATTGTTTGTCATTAACTCACTCTTCCTTGCCATTTCCATTTTTGGATTGTGTACTCTAAATTCGACTCCATTTCTTTTCCTTACTTTACAATTGTCCCTCTTTATTTTCTAATCTCTGTATATCTGTCAGATTTTAAATCTCTCTTAATTTTTAATCTTCCTTTAATTCATTGTCATGGACCAAATTCACTGGCTTTTTGTTTCTTGATAATTTTCAAGTGTTCTAGAATTTAAGCCCTTTCGGCTATCCATCAACAACGAGAAGTCAAGCACTATCTGGGAACGAAGAATTTAATACAATTGTCCGATTCTGTTTGTGAGTGCTGTGTTAGTAACAGCTGTTACCGCTTCGAAGAAAAATCCATCCATTTTCTTCACTTAATCAAATATATTCTCGTGATTAGGACGATTTTTAGTCGTCAGTCTAAAATCTCTTAGAAAAGTTACATCTGCATAAAGTATTCGAGCATGCGCAGTGAGCATGCGCAGTGAACATGCACATTTGGCAGCCGTATTGAAGAGATTTATGACTTAAAATAAATAATTAGGGATTAGTTGATTATATAACACAATTTATTTCCTAATATTCTGATATTATGTTTACTTAGTAGATACCCTGTTATTTTTTTAGTATTAGAATTACGTCTACTAGGATACATATTTGCTATATTTAATAAATAAATCAGCTCGTCGGTAATGCAGGAAACTGTGTCCTTGTTAGGTTAGTCATTGTTATCTTTTTTTTCATTGGTTAATTTAGTCACTACTATCTTCTGCTTCTCTTGTTAGGTTAGTCACTACTATTTTATACCGCTTCTCTTGTAATTTGGTCATTATTACTCTGTTTGCTTTCACTTTTTAGGTTAGACACGACATTATTTTGCTTCTTTTTCGTATCGATATCAGTGTCACCTGATACCTTTTAAAATAGAAAACAGCTGACCTGCCACGAAAATGGATTCGGCCATTAATTCCCCTATGGCAAAGGACACGGATTTAAAAAAAAATGGGATAAGTAAACAAGGCAGAGATCAATGTCTGTATAAGTCAGTGGCGACTACCGGCGAAAATGCTAAAGTGTAGCAAAGAGACAAAAAAGATCACCTTGCATCAACGAAAAAAGGAAGTCGCCTGTGAGACTGGTCCCTTCCCAAACCTATGCTTAATCTCGGTTTCGATTCTATATTGCAGCCGGTTACAACCCGGGAATAATATCTGCTTACTGCTACAAATCTCCATGCTGATATTCTGGCTGATTATAGTTTTAGCCGCAGGAATTTTACTGGAAGAAGCTTCACTATGAGAACGAGCCTAGTGTCTGATCTCAGCCGAATCGCAACATTGGAAAGAAACCACAAATTCGGGCGTATTTTATTTCTCTTGACCATCAAGATCCACAGACCATCAAGATCCACAGACCCCGGTAAATTCCAATGACCCTTTTGAAGAATACACAACTCGTTCAGATAAGTTCTAAGGATTCATTTATTGTTCATCCGAAATGATTCCTCCCTTGTACTCTAATAAGTGTATCGTCGATACTCGTCTTTGATTAGATGCCTTCATTGAAAATAAACGTGTGAATGACGTTTCTCGGCTTGCTCATTCGTGAGATCTCATAAGAAAATGTAATCTCCGTCAAGTTTCGAACCTGCACTCTTCTTTTTAGGGAAACCAACGTGTAATCCGGCGTACCACAGGACAGTTTATTTTTGAATAACCATTATACTCCTCTCAAACACACCGTACTTACCAGAGATTGTTGAATGCCATGTTCGTCTTGTATAAATCTGCATGGGCTCTAAACCCAAAAATTAGATAAC